TCACACTGCTGTGGTTTGTCGTGTTGAGTCTGACGTCATCTCCCTCCACGCCCACCCCGTAGGTGTCACGTTGCACCCCATTCTCTGGTGGGCTCAAGGGACATGTTACCAGGCCCCCATGTCCAGCACAGAGCAGGAACCTGGAGGAGGGGAGGGGGGCAGGGACGCAGCACTGCAGGCCAGAGCAGGGACAGCGGCTGGGACTGACCAGGAGAACCCAAATCAGGTGACAGCTAGAGACTCTGTGGGCGAAGATTCGTGGGAGCGAGCTGCTGTTTGAGGGGACACGAAAGCGCCCATGGGCCCAGGAGGACGTTCCCCTTTGCTCTCAGCCCCCAACTGGGAGCTCAGAGCATGGCGGGTGGGAACTCCTCCCCCAGGGGTGGGGAGCTGCTTGCGGGGGAAGCAGGAACCCCTGAAGAGAGAGGGTTTGGCAGGGAACAGACACCAAGCTGGGGAGAAGGAAGAGCTCAGGGGGGCCGGGGCTTTGTTGGACAAGGTGGGGAACGAACTCAACACCAGCTCACAACACACACCTCAACGAATGAGCCCGACCAAATAGAGCTGATGCTTTTGTGTGGCTCAGGAATGTTGTTATAGACATTCAAATGGCCCTGCCGCTGTGGCTCAGTGGTTGAGCGTTGACCCTGCACCAGGAGGCAGCGGGGTTCATGATGGAGGCCCAGGTGTGAGGAGGAGGCAGGGCTCTCGATAGGGGCGCAGGTGTGAGGAGGAGGCGGGGCTCTCCATAGGGGCGCAGGTATGAGGAGGAGGCGGGGCTCTCCATAGGGGCGCATGTGTGAGGAGGAGGCGGGGCTCTCGATAGGGGCGCAGGTGTGAGGGGGAGGCGGGGCTCTCGGAGGCGCAGGTGTGAGGAGGAGGCGGGGCTCTCCATAGGGGCCCAGGTATGAGGAGGAGGCGGGGCTCTCGATAGGGGCCCAGGTGTGAGGAGGTGGCGGGGCTCTCGATAGGGGCCCAGGTGTGAGGAGGAGGCGGGGCTCTCGATAGGGGCCCAGGTGTGAGGAGGAGGCGGGGCTCTCGATAGGAGCCCAGGTGTGAGGAGGAGGCGGGTCTCTCGATAGGGGTGCAGGTGTGAGGGGGAGGCGGGGCTCTCGGAGGCGCAGGTGTGAGGAGGAGGCGGGGCTCTCCATAGGGGCCCAGGTGTGAGGAGGAGGCGGGGCTCTCGATAGGAGCCCAGGTGTGAGGAGGAGGCGGGTCTCTCGATAGGGGTGCAGGTGTGAGGGGGAGGCGGGGCTCTCGGAGGCGCAGGTGTGAGGAGGAGGCGGGGCTCTCCATAGGGGCCCAGGTGTGAGGAGGAGGCGGGGCTCTCGATAGGGGCGCAGGTGTGAGGGGGAGGCGGGGCTCTCGGAGGCGCAGGTGTGAGGAGGAGGCGGGGCTCTCGATAGGGGCCCAGGTGTGAGGAGGAGGCGGGGCTCTCGATAGGGGCCCAGGTGTGAGGAGGAGGCGGGGCTCTCGATAGGGGCCCAGGTGTGAGGAGGAGGCGGGGCTCTCGATAGGAGCCCAGGTGTGAGGAGGAGGCGGGGCTCTCGATAGGGGCCCAGGTGTGGGGAGGAGGCGGGGCTCTCGATGGAGGCGCAGGTGTGAGGGGGAGGCGGGGCTCTCGATGGAGGCGCAGGTGTGAGGAGGAGGTGGGGCTCTCGATAGGGGCGCAGGTGTGAGGAGGAGGTGGGGCTCTCAATAGGGGCCCAGGTGTGAGGAGGAGGCGGGGCTCTCGATAGGGGCCCAGGTGTGAGGAGGAGGCGGGGCTCTCCATAGGGGCGCAGGTGTGGGGAGGAGGCGGGGCTCTCGATGGAGGCGCAGGTGTGAGGAGGAGGCGGGGCTCTCGATGGAGGCGCAGGTGTGAGGAGGAGGTGGGGCTCTCGATAGGGGTGCAGGTGTGAGGAGGAGGCAGGGCTCTCAATAGGGGGCGGTGCTGGCTCACTGGGCCTTGATGGTTGAGTAGGAGTTCTTACCGGATAAGGTATCGTTTCTCAGTTTATGGTTGCCTTGGTTTGGGTTTTCCTTTTTCAGATGAGGCTGAGGAACCCTAGGGCAACATGTGCTCCGGGGCCTCAGTGACAAGCGGGCAGGTGGCTTCCTGGGGACTGGCCTCCAGGGGTGGCAGCGGGTGGAAGGGGGTGGTTCTCACCCTGTGGGCCCTGGTGGGGGGGCAGCAGGAACCTGCAGGTCGGGGCTTTTCCGATGCCTGTTCGGGAAGATGTGCTGGGAACCCAGAGACAATCTTTTATAAATCTTGAGGTTTTAACCTGCGGACACTGTAGGGGAACAGAAGGTGGAAGGTAAAGGTCACCCAAGTGACGCCCTCGGAGGTCACCCCCAACCTTTCCTTCCCATTCATCACGTTAAACAGCTTTACTGGGGTGTGGTTGCCAAGGAATCACTGAATGTGTTCGCGTACGGTCTGCAGGGCTCTGAGGGACGGGTACGATCTGCAGGGCTCTGAGGGACGCGTACACCTGTGTGCCCTCGAGACAGTTCGAGGCTGTGTGCCCCTCCGAAGGCGCCCTGGGCCCTGGGCCCTCCCCCCCGCGCCCTCCCCTGTCCCTGCTGGGTCCCGGGGCCTGCGTGTCCTGGGAGTTGCCAGCGTGTCCTGGGAGTTGCCAGCGGCGCTCACACTGAAACCTTGCAGGGACCCCTCCCTGAACTCACCCCGCGGGAAGAAGTGCTGTTAGCTCGTGGTTGGCGGGGTTCCCATTTCTCAGACAGAGAAACTGTGGCCAAGAGGGAACAGGCCTGCGCGAGCCCAGGAGGCCTCTGCTCCACCTGGGAGGTTGGGGTGTGGTGGCCCCTGGAGGCACCTGGACTGCTCCTCACCCCAGCTCACGGCACCACCGGGGGCTCTGTGCTAGCCCCCAGCCCAGTCACTGTGACCAGCACCCTCCCAGCTCACCCCCACCATCTCTGGCTCCCCCTCCCCAACCTGGGGGAGGACGATGCGGGGTCTGGTTCTCTCTCTGAGAAGGGGAATCGGCCGCAGCAGGGGGCCCTTCTGCCACGTGTGCAGACTCCGGGCAGCTGAGAGTGAGGCCCGTGTGCTCACACTGCGCCCGGCTCCTAGAAACCCCGGTGCTGGGGTCTCAGTGCACTGCCCTGCAGCCTGGAGCCCAGGGCGGGGCGGGGGAGCCCCGCCCCGCTCTGCCCGTGGAGGACCCCCGCCCCCGCTCTGCCCAGCGAGGGGGAGCCCCGCCCCGCTCTGCCCGAGTCCTCATCTCAGGGGCGCTTTCCCACTTCGAGGGGGCCCTTCTCTGAATCCCCCATGGCCGCGTGCCGGGCAGTTCCTGTGCTGACTCGCAGGAAGGAGCGATCTGCACGGCCCTGGGGGACGGGGGTGGAGGGGGTGGAGCCACCCGCTGTCTCACGGGAGTGGAATCCACACGGACGGACAGGCCTTCGCACCCCGTCTGCCGGCAGTGCGGTGTCTGCGAGGGCAGAGAGCTGCCGGGCTGGTTAGGACGAGGTGCTGCCACCCCAGGCTGGCCCAGGCTCCCCCAGGGCAGGGAGGAGAGTGGGGTCTCCACCCCCGGGGAGCAGGACCCCGCCCTTGGGAGGCAGAGGTGGGAGATGAGCGTCCAGGGGACCACTCAGAGCTCAGAGCCAGGCCGGGGGCTGCTCCTGCTCCAGGGGGGCCGCTGAGGCTGCAGGACGGGGACAGGGGTGGTTCTTTGTGGCCCAGAGGGCAAAGGGAGGAACTGACCTGAATCCACCAGGAGGGTCACCTCCACAGGAGGACGCTGGGCTGGGGACCCGTGGAGGTGCACCGCCTTGCCCTGGGCCGGGCTCTGCTGGACCGGCTGACCTCTGGGAACTTGGCAGCCACCAGCGTCCTGATAGCAGGGTCCACGCGTGTCAGCCTCGTGGTGGCTGCGTGCACGGGGAGCCCTGACCGAGAGGCACGGTCTCCATTCCCTGAAGCCCTCCAGAGCTGGGGGGCGGTGAGCTCCGGCCCCCACCTCGCCACCACGCGAAGGAAGCTGGGTCCTCTGGGGCCTCTGACACGTGAACATGCCGCTGGGAGGGCGTCGCTCGTGTATCAGGAGGTGGGGGTGACGGCGTGCAAAGGTCCTTGAGGAGAGGGGTGCTCCCCCCGTGAGGCTGAGGCTGGGCCAGGTGGGCGGCTGGCCAGAGGGGAGGAGGCGGGGGAGGGGCAAAGGGAGGGGGCAGGCCACATTTGGGCCTGGGGTTTGCAGGGAGAGGGTCCTGGAGGGGAGACGTCCTGGTGGAGAGACGTCCTGGAGGGGAGACGTCCTGGTGGGGAGACGGGTGGTACCTGGAGCAGCGAGGCGGGGACCATCACAGCGGTGGACCTGGGACGAGGCTGGACGGGTGGTTTAGAGCTCCTTCCCTAATTCAGTGTCCGGCCTCCCCAGCGACTCAGGAGCCCTGGTACTCCACCTGTCCCCAGGTAGGCTTCCTTAGGGCTGTATCATGGAGCAGGCGGAGCCCCTGGGCAGGGGACCCAGCAGGGCCCGGGGCAGTGGGTGAGCCCGCAGCCCGACCCTACCTGGGGTCCGGGAAGGACAGCCCCTGCCTGCCCAGAGGGGACAAAGCAGATGTGGGGCCTGAGGAGGACGAGGAGGCCGGGGGTGGGGCCTAGGGAACCCCTGGGGGTGGGGCCTAGGGAACCCCTCCGCAGAACAGTGCTTGACCACCGGCCCTCATTTTGGTCGGGTATGTATCGAGGCTGGAGGGCAGGACACACCTTGTCGCATCGTCCGCTTGTTTATGACTGTAAGCATCAGACATGGGCGTGAGCTCGGGGGCCTGGGGGTGGTGCAGCCGGGTCCCCGGTGCTTGGATGGGACCCTGTCCCCCTGTGCGCCCAGGACAGGTGGTTCCTCCTCCCCGGGCCCATCAGAGACCCCCGGCAGCCCCCAGGAGCCTCTGGGATGGGAGCCCTGGGCCCCGCGTGTATCTTTGTGGGGGAGGGGGGGGCAGGGACCAGGCCGGAGGGTGACAGCGCCCACACACTGTCGTTGCAGCCCACTCCCTCTTCCTGGCCTCCGCCTGCCAGGACGCCGACTCTGACGCGGTCTTGCAGAAGCTCTGCTTCGCCCGGTTCCAGGTGGACATGGAGAGCATCGGGAAGACGCTGTGGTGCGACTGGGGCAGGACCATCCAGTGAGTCACCGTGTCCCCGGTGGGGGGCATGGCTGGGGCTCGGGGCCCAGGGCCCGGTGAGAGGGTTCCCCGGAGGCCACAGGTTGACGGGACAGGGGGCAGATTCACGGGGACAGAGGAGCCAGTGACAGGGCAGTGAGGGGCAGGAGGTGTCCCTGTCCCTGATGACCTGTGGTCTCCTGCAGGGGGTCCCCAAGGCAGCAAGAGGCGGAGGGTCCCGTCAGGGCCATGTCCAGCGTGAGATGCCTGTGGCCCATCCAATGCAGGCATCTGGGGACCACGGAGAGCACGGCCGAGTCCCCAGGGGCCTCAGTCGCCGAGTCTCCGACAGGTGGCCCCGTGGGCAGGGGCGTCCGAGCTGATTCCCTCGGCCCCGTGGGCAGGCTGCCCTTCCGCCCGTCCAGGGCTAGGAGCTCCCGGGTGTCACGGGGAGGCTGTCACCAGAGGGGTGGCCCGCGGCACGCCACAGAGAACGGCTAGCACGGAGCCTGTCCCCTTCATGGCTCGGTCTTTCTGCCAGAGCACCCCTCTTCCCACCCCACGGGCTCATGCTCTGCCTCCCTCCCCTCGAAGGGGCCGAGCGTCCGCTCCCAGGCCGGGCCCTCAGCCCCTGGGGCCCGAGCAGGACTCAGGTGACCAGCCCAGCAGGAGCCCTGGGGACGGCGGGGTCCCCTCATTCCTGTCCTTCGTAGCCTCGTTTTCTAAACTGCTACAGTGATCACGGGTGAGAAGCCGGGGGCAGGCCCGGTTGTGGAAACTCGGGACAGCCTGGTCTTCAGGCAGGTTGGCCTGTGCCTCCGCTGAGTGACTCTGTCCCCGTGACCCCGGGAAGAGGCCCGGTCCCTGGAGGCACCCTGCCCTCCTCTGCGCCAGCCAGGGTTTGTGCAGCTGGGTGCCAGGCCGCTGCCTGGCAGAAGACAGGGTGCCGCTGATGATGTCCCCGCAGAGGAGGTGAAGCCACCAAAGCCGTTCCCGACAGTGCCGAGCGCAGGCAGAAACAGTGCCCACTGGGGCCCGGGGGACGCACAGCCGGAAACAGCCGCGGTGGGTGAGGGGCTGGGAAAGTCCGTTGATTTAAAAGAAAGTCAAGATAACTGAAGGAGCCCTGGCCGGTGTGGCTCAGCGGTTAGAGCGTCGGCCTGCAGACCAGAGAGACCCGGGTTCGGTTCCCACTAAGGGCACAGACCTCGGTGCAGTTTGTCCTTGACCTGGGTTGGGGTCGTGTGGGTGGCAGCCACTTGATGTGTCCCTTTCATGTCGATGTTTCTCTCTCTCTCTCTCTCCCTCCTTCTCTCCCTCCTGCTCTATCTGAAGATAAATGCAAAAATGTCCTCAGGTGAGGATAAAAATAATAATAAAATATTAAAAGAGAATTGAGGGAGCAAAGAGCAAAGCCCTTATTCTAACAGTGTTGTCATCCATCACGTGGCGTGTGTCACACTGCATGACATCACATGTCATGGCACACGCTACCTTGTATGACATGTTTACATTGCCTGACGTTACATTAGACAGGGCGGGGCAAAAGTAGGGTTACGGTTGTGAGCATGTGAGACAGTCTGTTCTTGTAGGGTTGTTTATTAATTGCTGTATTCTTCCCCGTACAAGCTACTGCAAACCTGTGGCATGTTCCATTCCATGACACATCACAGTACATTGACCCGTCCCGCAGGTCGAGCAACGAGGACTCTAGAGGGGGAGTGAGGATGAGGAGGGACAAGAGACACGAGAAATGGAGACAAGATAGGGCTCTGATCAAGTCTCGTTTATTCTGGGGAAATTGACACAATATATAGGGCAGGAAAAACAAGATCATTTGTTATCAAGCGATAGTTATTGCGTAACCACCCCAAGCATGGGTGGAACAAAAGACTGAGTAAATGGTTCAAAATGCAGAGATAAAGCAGAGATATCCTGCCTTGGGGCAGAAGATGGCAGAGCAGAGTTTACTTAAAGAAATGTAGAGATAAAGAAATGCAGAAGGCAGAGACATCCTGCCTTGGGGCAGGAGATGGCAGAGCAGATTTTAACAAAATGGATGCCATGCAAAATGTCTCCCACAGGTCCCCCTTTTCTTTAATTTTAAGGCCGAAATAATACCTTGAGGGGACTGTGCCTGTCTTAGGTCAGGAAACTTGCACACAGTGCCAACCTGTCCTTACCCGTCATTGGAAAGCAAGGCAGCATAGGGCCTTGTTCCTGTCTTAGGTGGTGGTTGGCGACGCGTGTGAGTTCCAGTTGCCCGTCTCTGGCTAACCAGCCCAGCGCACCAAGGTGACGAGGATGTTGAGCTTATTGACTCACAGCTAGAGTGAGCTTCTCTGTTGGCCATTTCAAGTCTATGATAGTGGTGGACCTGTATAGATTGCATCTTAATGGCATCTATCTGCTGCTTGATGAAAGCCATCACCTTATTGAAGAGGAAGGGTCTTAGTGACACAATCAGTGAAAGGCCAAGTAAGGGGCCCAACAGAGGGAGAAGATACACCCCATTTAGCCCGCTCCAAAGGGGGTTATTGAAAAGTTCTTTTCAGCAGCAGCGTTCCTGCAAGGCAGTCGCATGGGGGGCCAAACAAGGCCCTCAGGAGCTCCTCAGGGTGTGGAGGAGGCCCCAAACCTCCTTCCAAGCAGGCAAAGATGCAGTAGTATCCCTGCAGTAAGATTTCAGCCTTCCGGTCCATTCCTGAAAAGAAAAAACAGGAAAAGCCTCTCAGGGCGAATTTTCATCCCTGGAGTTATCTATATGGTTATCTGTTATTCCTTTAACTTGATCAATCTGTTTAACCAAACGCTCTGGTAGCCATCTGGCAGATTTCATTTTCTTAGAGTACATGCATACAGAACCTCGGCCCCAGATGAGGACTGGGTCTGGGCCATGCCAAGAGCTGGTTAGCGGATCTTTCCCCAACACTGAGGCAAATTGTTTTTGGGTTTCTGTATGCCAAAAGCGATTAGCAGCAGATTGCCCATCAGTGTCCAAATTTAAAAAATTGAGGATAAATAAGGCATGAGAGAGAATATTTCTGGGTGACCCCCTCGTGGGGTACCATTCCTCCTTTTTTATTTTATCAGTGGTGATCTTTAAAGACAGATGTGCTCTCTCTACAATCCCTTGGCCCTGAGGGTTGTAAGGTATACCTGTTATGTGTTGAATATTGAGGCGTTTGCAAAATTGGGAGAAGGCTGAACTTGTATAGCCTGGGCCGTTATCGGTTTTCAATTGCTGTGGGCATCCCAGAACTGTAAATGTGGTTAGCATGTGACTGATCACATGTTTTGTGGCTTCACCAGTTTGGAGGGAGGCATAAATGAACCCACTAAAGGTATCTATGATAACATGTACATATTTAAGATTTCCAAATTCAGCGATGTGAGTAACATCCATTTGCCATAATGCATTAGGGATTAGTCCCCTTGGGTTTACTCCAAGGTGGGGGACCGGCAAGTGAGTGGCACATGAGGGGCAGTTTTTAACAATTTGCCTAGCTTGTTCCCTAGTAATCTGACGCATGAGGCGAAGCGTTTTAGCATTGAGATGATGTAATCGATGACTGTTCTGCGCTAGGGTGATTTTATCAGAGCTGTTATCAGTGGCTGTAAACACTTGATTAGAATCCTGGAGGCGAGTAGCTAGGTCAGCTTTTTGGTTTCCCTCAGCAAGAGGTCCTGGCAGCCCAGAATGGGCGCGTAAGTGGCCTACGTAAAATGGGTGAACTCTTTTTGTAATTAGCTTCTGTAACTGCCTAAACAAATTTCCTGCATTGGATATGTTTTTTACCTGTCCAGCTGTTTCTAATAGAGGTATAGAATGTGCGATGTATGCACTATCTGTGTAAATATTGAGAGAATGATCTGGGAAGGCAGAAAATACAGCAACAATGGCTTGCAGTTCCGTTAGTTGAGCAGATGTGCTGCTGGTCATAAATGACACTGTTTGGTCCAGATAAGTGTAAGCAGCTCTACCCGTCGAGGACCCATCAGTAAATACTAGTAAGGCATTTCTCAAAGGCTTAGATGCTGTGAGTATAGGAAAGGTAAACTCATGTTTGTTGGCAAAATCAATAAGTTTGTCTGGTGGATAATGATTGTCTAGAATCCCCGCATAAGAGGCTAGGGAAATGGGCCAAAATTCAGTATTTTGCATGAGCCAGCTAATTTGGTCCACGGTATAGGGTTGTATAATAATATCTGGCTCCTTACCAAAATAACATTTCCCTTGTTTCCTGCCCATCATAATGAGATTGGAAACTGCCTGATAATATGGCTCAATGACCCTTTTAGGTGTGGCAGGCAAGTGAATCCACATTAAGGGCGCTGTCTGCCAGAAAACAGCGGTTGGGGAGAGAGCAGTCTTACAAATAATAAACTTTAAAGGTTTAGTGTAATCCATAAAGGTGGTTGCTTGAGAATGGATAGCCTGTTCCACTTTGCGTATAGCCTGTTTTCCTTCCAAGGTAAGTTCACGGGGAGATGTAGGGTTGGCATCTCCCTGTAGTATATCATACAGGGGTTTAAGTTCCCCTTTACTGATTTTTAAATAGGGCATAAGCCAATTAATGTCCCCTAGCAATTTTTGGAAATCATTTAGGGTTTTAAGCTTGTCTAATTTTAGCTCTAATTTTTGAGAGGAAATTAGGGACCCTCGCATTTGAAAACCAAGATATGTATAAGGGTCTGCGAGTTGGACCTTGTCAGGGGCTATTTCCAGGCCTTTGTCTCGTAAGGCAACGCGCATCATCTCATAGCATTTCAAAACCTCGCTCCCCTCTTTTCCGGCTATGAGGATATCATCCATGTAATGTATAATGTATATATTTGGCCAATTGTCTCTGACTAATTGTAAGGCTGAGGCTACAAAGGATTGGCATAGGGTAGGGCTATTAGCCATTCCCTGTGGCAGAACACGCCATTGGAATCTTTTCATAGGCGCTTTGAAATTTATAGCTGGTAAGCTGAATGCAAATCGCCTCTGATCATCTGGATGCAGAGGAATCGTGAAA